TCATTGTGCTATCGTTAAATTGCCGCGTACATGTAGGAGCAATTCCTCCGCCCTTCTTGTATTTCTTCCTTGACTTAAACATTTAATTCAGAACAAGTGACTATTCTTTTATTTTGTTGGCCGGTATAACGTGTTGCACTACAGCTTGTTTCTCAATATAGTAAGAGACTTGCAATTCTTAAGAACATTTAACCTTTTATTCGTCTATATTCCACTTACCAATCCCCACTACTTTATGTATAAAATAAAAATGACAAAGAAATACGTTAATAAGAAAACGGGGACAAAATATTTTAGTTTTAGTATATTTTAACTACAAAAATGAAAATAACTTGCCACAGGAGGCATACTCCCCTCGTTTCATGTGACATAACGAGAGTGACGAAAAGGAAGGGTGTATGCAATGCAAATTTTTACATTCAAGATTGTCTGTAATCAAGAATGGCGCTAAAGATGACCCAGTTGAGCTTCCATGTAGAAAATGTGGGGAGCCCGCATGTTCATACTTATGCAAAACGGAGAAATTCTTGATTGCAAGGGCCCATCCGAGTACAAAACTAATGCTTATCTTTTGAGCCATCAAATGCATGTTGCTTCATTTAGTCACGGCGTGTAGTACTAAATTATCCATTTGATCATGCTTATCATAGATTGTTGTTTGAACATTTCTGAATGGCTACATTATTGCGATATTCAGTAACATTTTTGTGAACTTATTTATTCATATAAATACATCTTACCTATTAGTGATGTCCTTTTATGGCACAACGATACAAAATCTTCAAATAAAACACGTAAATTATAGCAACTAATCAAATCATTATTGGACAATTTTCACACCAACCATTCATTTTAATAAAGGGTTTCTTTCCTTCTTTATAGTGCTATATACAAAGGTTTTTAGTACGATATTTATTGACGAGATAGATGAATAAATACACATAGAAGATATAGGAGGATAAGATGTATTTATATGAATAAGTTTATATTTTACACGTCAAAGTAAATAATATCGTTTGTTCAATATAATATATATAGCTTGAAAGCCATACACGTAGAGAGAAAGAGCAAAACGTGTGAGGTACTCTGACGTGTGACCAAAGCCACAAAACTTAAGCCTATAACTGCCAACTGGGTGTCGTCTCTCTTGCTCTCTCTCTCTCTCTCTCTCTCTCTCTCTCTCTCTCTGCGTGTCTATATGCCAACTTTCTCCATATCTTCTTTCTTTTTAAACCGCTTCGACTGTCCTTCGATTTTAGAGAGAGAACAAGTTAGCAGCTCCATTTAAACATCTTCCGTCGATCGAAATATATATTTATATCCCTATTATTTTATTTTGATGATCATGTCTAAGATGAGGAAAACCCTACGAACCAAGTTGAGATCTGCGTTCTCCAAGCCAAGTGAGTTCCGATTTCTATATTTCTATGCATGTTAATTTCCTTAACTTATGATTACTAGTTGATTATTTCACAATTTCAAAAAAAAAATTATTATGTTGTTTTTGAAGAATCAATAGATATTGCTTTAATTGATTGGTATATTAATTTCAGGAAGAGAAAAAGACAATGTCGGCGGCAATGGCTTCTCCAGCAAGTCAAGCGTGAACGAAGAATACATGGAAGTTTTCAGAACAAAGTCGTACGTAGAAATGGGATAGGGTTCACGAACAGCTGCCAAGCACTAGCACTAGCACTAGCCGGCTTCCTTCGTCTAGGTCGTCTCTTCTGTCTAATATGGTGTTGGACCGCTCCGATATTTTACTCGAACCACGGCAAGAAACCCTTAAAAACATCATCGATGAGGAGGGCTTAAATCTCCACCACCTTCTCACCGACTACTTCGAAGCCAGCTTAGACGCCTGCCACATATGTGACGTGCTCCTGCATAGCATCCACCAAACCCGTGCCGAAAACCGACACACGAAGAAGCTCGTATTAAAACTCAGCCAAAGAGTACACCTACTTTATAATGATAATATCGACATTACTGATGATGAACAATGCCTGGAAATTTTCGGGGAGCTTGGCACATTTGCCCGAGCTAAAAATCCGTTGTCGATAATCAGCCCTGGGCCGTTCCGTCACATTCATGATAGCTACGTGGCGTTATTCGATAGGCTGATTTTAAAGCACAAAAAGGTGCGAAGGGCCTCAAAGCGTAACAGAATATGCAAAAAGGTTGGAGGGGTTGGTCTGGTGGTGTCACATACCGCGCTTTTGATCACGTTGCTTGTGTTTGCAATCCACAGCATGATTGGAATCGTGGTGGCGCCGGCGCTCATAGCCTGCTCGTTGGGTTTGTGCGCGAGAAAAATGGACTCCGCAGCGGAGTGGTTGAAGACTAGGTTTCCCGAGAGCCACGGGCAGCAACTTGACGTGGCGGCGAAAGGGGTTTATATTTTGATCAATGATTTCGATACAATGAGCCGGATGGTGAGGCGGTTGTACGACGAGGTGGAGCACAGGAAAGCTGTCGCCAGAATGTGTGTTAGCAGTGTGAGGAACATAATTAGTACTAATAATGGTGGATCATCTTCAAACTGTGACATATTTAAGAAGGTGGTGAGGGAATTTCATGCGAGTGAGGATAGCTTTGTGGAGCAGCTAGAGGAGCTTGAAGAACATATTTACTTGTGCTTGCTCACCATAAACAGGTCGAGAAGGCTTGTGATACAAGAAATATTGGCAAAGACCTAATTGGGAGCTGAGTGGTGACATCGTAATCGGTCATTAAGTTGGTAATCATACATCATGGTATGGGAGGTTACGCAAAAAAAAAAAATGCAGATATATATAGTAATAATCAATGATATATTGCATGACACATATAGCTTGGACGTGAGCTACAAGTCTTTGGCTGAAGTAGTTATCCATGCAATTGCTTCATCAACCAAGTATTCTTCTTCACGTGGATCGACTGAGGTTAATGGATTATTCATTATCTAGATCTGTAATTGCCACTTAAAAGTACGTGAGGGTAATGATATTGTAAAAAGATGACCTTTACATCACTATCCCTAATTTAAAAAAAAAAATCTTTAAAATACTTTCTTTTACACAGTAAAAGTGTACATGTGCCATAAGCTTCAATCTTAATTAAGTACATTTTAGACCAAAAATCATGCAGTTTAATAACCGATGCTAATGAAGTACAACATGAATTATAGGGCATTATGATTTCGAAGAAGATTAAACTATTACACCAAATATTTCTACATGGTTGAAGCTGCATCTTCACGGCGCTTCTTATTCAAACGGTACAAACAGATGTTGTTTTGGGATCGAGCCCTATACTTGATTTCTGGGCATCAGAAATGACAACATATAATCACTTAATTTGATAAACCCAAAAAATGTGGCGGGCTGCCTCTTGAAAAATAATATAAGCACGCCTCTGCCGTTAATTAACCCAGAACCGTAAAAGCAGCCACTTGAATTAATTAAACCACCACCAGCTTAATTATGAGAACTGTACGTTGCTGGTGAACGTTTGGCCAAATCCCCAGTTGGCGGGAGCAATGTCGTTAAACAGTTGAGTTTCGCCGTCGGTTGTGGTGACTCTGAACGACAGAGATTGGCCGTTGAGGTAGGCGTTGGACTGCCAGTTTGCTCCCCAATTCATGGACATTGCCATCCAACCAGTTTGGGATCCTTTAATGTAAGCAGACGTGATAGATCCAGCTCCTCCGACATTGGTGATCAGCACAAGCTCAAAGTAGTTCCTCCCATTTATTGTGAATCTCACACCGCCTTTCTTCTTGCATGGTACCCTGCACACACATGATCCAATTCCCATTAATATATTACACTACAGTACACAAAGGGTTCAATACGGAAATTCTTTGTGCAAAGACGATGAATGCGTTGAGGTTGCTGAAAATCTACGTGTCGATAACATGTTGATTGGTTTTTGTCATAGATATTATATTGGTATGGTTTATAACATGTCGATACATAATGTAAGTTACAATGATATCAACACATTATCGATAACATATCAACTTCGGATCAGAAATTAATGATCTAAATTCGAACTAATTCAAGGTTTGAAGTTTAGTTTTCGGACTAATTAAAGTTACCTTTGGAACAGGACGGGGATGATGCCACCGCTGTAAATTCCGATCTTTTCCCAGGCAGGCTGAGCCATGTCGAAATGCTGAAGGGGTGGGTTGCACCATCCTCCATTGTTGTTTGGAAGATCAAAATTGGGAGGACAAAAGTTTGTTGCAGTAATTGTCACGGACCTTCCTTTTATGCACCATCTAGAATCTGTGGTGTAGTCGCATATTATCTTATAGCATTGTCCACATGAAGCTCCGTCGTTAAACAGGGCGGTACTTAAAGCCGCCGTCCTAGTCCCGTACCTGGTGGAATACAGGTTGCCATATCCACAAGCTCCCCCTGCAGTGCACAACCCGTAACACGTTAGAATTAGGATAGGTGAAGAGTTCGATTAATCATTACAAAAAGTGAGTAAGGGAAGCAATTTCCGCATACTTTCTTTTACAAACAACTATTTGTTTCGGCATTTGGAATGAATATCAAACAACAGAAATAAACAAAGCTATGTACGTACCCATAGTTCCAGAGGCATCACTTCCTCCATAGAATGTGGCATGACCTTTAGTCCAGCCAGATGCTGTGAATGCAGTGACATATGTCGAGAGACTGTATACTCCAAGAAAGATTGCTAATGGAAAAAAGAGCTTCGCCATCGTTGATTAGAGAGAGAGAGAGAGATCGAGGAGAGAGAGATGGGAATTGGTACGTATTTGGGAGTGTATTTACACTAATCGGGCATTTTAAAGTATAAATAAGAGAACAGATCGACTCAGTGATGCATTGCCCATGCAAGCACCTCACATGGGAACTCTGCAGCCGGATTGAGCGCATATGATTAATTTTGGTGTATTAATTAAATAATGAATTAAATTATCTCTCTCTCTGCAAAGTCTGACTTGTTCAGTCAATTATTATTCCCACGTCCACTCCACATGCTCTTGGCCCAACAGAAGAGCCGTGAATAAATCAAAATGCAGAAATCCAATTGTTCCTTTGATTAAGGGTTTCCTTCTTCAAAGTTGCAGGTTGTTGCTATTTGAAAATAGAATGTGCACATATTTAATGTGTTTTTTGTATGGTTGGAATTTATATATGTCAGGGTCGTATTACTTCACATGCTACTTCCGTGAGGCTTGACCTTATATGATACATACATTGGCATCATTCTTCTTTCTTCATGTGCATTACACATGACCCCTTTTGCACATATGCAGATAGACGCGGACATTCCGGACGCATTGTATGGCAAGGCTGGACAATTGCTTTTTCCTTTTCTACACGAAACCATCGGCTATATCCTCCATTTAATGAGAATTTACTCACTACACTCAAATTTATTTATCTCAACTTCCTTCTTCAATCCCTCATGCGCGATTATCACTAAGATTTGTTCACCAACCAATAAAGGCAAATGTGTTGTAAAAAACAACTTATTAACTTCTTCTTTTTTAGCATTTGGCCTATCCACAATAAAATTTCTGAATCCGTCGTTACAAATGAAACCACTTTATTTTCTTTATAGAGAAAACAAATGAATGTGTAATTTTGGAAAAGAATTTTTGGTATGATTATATTTTAGTAATATGTTCATGACAGTTGCCATGTGATGTAGCACCGTCAAGCACTTGTGACAGAGAGAATCCATCGACTTGTAATATAGTTTATTAAGCACCGCTACGCTAGCGAGATCTAGAGAGGGCTCTCCCATACAATATCGTTTAATAAGAATTTGACAATCATATGAAGTCGTAAACATTAAGAGTTTTTATCATTCTTTTAGACGATAAGGGTGCGGAAAGTCAGGAGTTTGTACGGAAAGCAAAGAGAGTTGTATACATTAATAGATAATAAATCAAGGGTGGTGCTATTTATACACCTTCTATTAATTTTTGTTCTTTGCTTTTCTTCAACTATTTCGATCCAACGTTCAGAAATTAAAAGACGTGTATCGATGAGAGTTGTTTAGTTGAAATGTCAGAAAGTCGTTTGAGTGAAATGATGGTTAGGAGTTATTAAGTTGGTGCTTAAATGATTGAAAGTCAACTGCTCAATTCTTGCACATGATAATACATTTCACAATTCAGTGTTTGAACTTATCAACTCTATAATTCTATATTCACACTAGACGCTCTAGTGGTACAACTTTCGTACTTGAAAGCATATCAATCGTAAATCAAAAGGATATATGGTTGTTTTAAGTATAGGTTAAACTACTCTCATTATGTTACAATTTTTTTTTTTTTGTCAAAAGACATATTTGTTAGATTAGAAACCGACGAAATTTAAACTCATATCGTTGTACAAGAGCAACATTCATCTCCACTACTGTGATAAAGGGTCGCTTGCATTTTACGGAGTTTTTAACTGTTACATTCTTGGTCAAAGATACAACGGCTAACAGTTGACATCGAAATCATTGGGGTATAAGATATTTGAGAGCATAATAAAATTCTTGTACGGGATAATAACTAATTGTAATGTGATAAACGCTAAGCATGCTCTTTGTGTATTTCGGAGTTTGTAATTTGGAATTTGGGGCTAGCATGCGTCAGATGGTAATGTTGAGATCTATGAATGTAGGATTAAGCATTTAACATAACAACTGATAACAATTTTCAATCTATGATTAAGAGTTTAAAAACAACAAATTTCGTATTCAATTCCATTGTTTTTTTAGGTTACCCAAATAAGAAAATTCACAAATTCTATAGAATAAAATTCCATCATTTAAATTTCCGTCATTTTAAAATTCCTTAGTAATCTTAAATTTCTTCATCCAAACATATTCTTCTTTTGCCAAAAGAAGAATATGTTGATAGGGAATAAATTGTAGTTTGAGGAAATGGTTACAGCAGTTACTTCTGCTCGTTGCATGGTTTTTTTTTATTTTTATTTTTTATTGAAAAGATTGCTCTATTGAACATCAAGATAATGTACATAGGACAGCACAAACTATCCAAATCCAAACATGAATATCAGGACTACAGCTACATCTTTATAAAAAAAAAACACGCAGACTGATTACCATTATATGGGGCATAAAATAGAAAATGCTTTAGCATCAACACCTTACCATCACGGGGCATAAATTGCTCGTTGCATGATTACTTATAACTTATGGGCATATTCTTCTTTTGCCAAACATTAATATCAACATTGCCGGTCCTGAGTTATTTGAGGTCCTGGGCAACACCGAAAAATATGCCTTAACATATTTTTTACATAAAGTAATTATTTATTTTAGTATTTGTACGTTTGTACATCGAATATTAAAGAAAAAATATACTTTTTGACATTATGGACCTTTTTTGACAAATGATATAGGATAATCTACACTAAACTTATTGCCGGTCCTAAGTTATTTGAGGCCCTAGGCGACACCGAAAAATATGCCTTAACATATATCTTTACATAAAATAATTATTTATTTTAGTATTTGTACATATGTACATCGAATATTAAAGAAAATAGACTTTTTGACCTTATGGACCTTTTTTGACAAATAATAGGATAATCTACAGTAAACTCATTAAAACTAATGATAAGGGGGATTCGAACACGAGACCTAAAAGAGCAAAGGTGAACACTCTTAACTAAACTGATCTACAAACCACTTGAACATTATGAAACCTTTG